GGGTGGTTGCGCGGGTGGTTGCGCGGGTGGTTGGCGGGCAGGCGGCCGGGCTGGGTCGGTGGGTGTGAGTAGGCGGGCGGCCAGACTGGGTCCGTGGGTGTGAGTGGGCGGGCGGCCAGGTTGGGTTGTTGGGTATGAGTGGGCGGGCAGTCGGGCAAGGTCGGTGAGTGGTTGGGTGCCGCGCAGGCGGGTGCGTGCACCCGCCCCATGCGTTTTGCCGAAAGTGACAAARCTGAGAGGAAGTGGAACGACGAACGTCCAAAAAAACAACAAAACAAAAGCCAGGGAAACGACGAACGCTTGGTTTCCAACAACATTAAAAAAAAGAAAAGGCCGCGGCAGGGAATGCCTGCACCCAAAGCTGGGTAATGGTCCCAGTATTATCTGTTTTGTTTCCGGGTTGTATGTGGGGAATTCCCGGCCCCATTTCTGGTTCAGTGTCATTAAGAGCAGAGTCTCTTTCTCAAAAAAAAAAAAAAAAAAACGACAAAAACAAAAAGGAAAAAAAGGTTTCCAACAAAATTAAAAAGAGTCCGCGATGAAAAAAAAAAAAAAAAAGCCCATGAAAGCGGGAAACGACGAAAACAGAAGAAAACAAAAGGCCGTGGCAGCGGGAAACGACAAACTTTGAAGGGGAACGAAAACCAACAAAAGAACATAGGACGAATTGGCGCGGCATTTATTTCACGATCTTAAATATTTTTAAAATTTTTTTAATATTTTTCATAAAAAGATCACAACCCAATCTACAGACCTATCAATTTTCAGAGTTGTGGAGTCATCCTCCTGAGCGCGAAAAATTGCAGAAGTTGGGGTACTTTTCCCGTTGGCCGTCACATGATACAGCAGCAAAAGACCCCCAAAAATGAATATAGGACGAATTGGCGCGGCGTTTATTTCACGATCTTAAATATTTTTTTAATTTTTTAAAAAAAAATTCGTAGAAAGATCACGACCCAGTCTACAGGCCTATCAATTTTCAGAGTTGTGGAGTTATCCTTTTGAGCGCAAAAAATCGCGGAAGCTGGGGTACTTTTCCCGTTGGCCAACACGTGCAAGAATGACAAAAATGGACAGTGCAACTAAATGGCGCGGCATTTATTTCACGGTTTAATTTTTTTTTTATTTTTTTTTTTTTCCTAGAAAGATCACAACCTAATCTACGGGATCTCAAATTTTCAGAGTTTTTCTTCAATTCATCTGAGCGCGAAAAATCGCCAGATTTGGTGCTTGAAAATTGCGGGACTGGACCCGCCTGCCACACTGTGCAACGTTAGGGTTTGGACACACAGGCACATTCTGACCTGTCAGCTGCCTGACGTCGGATACACTTCATAAAGAAGCAGTCCCCAAAACCACACAAGGACCCAATCCACCTGTGTGGTTAGGGCAGTTGCGTATTTCAAATCTGTGCGTGGTTTCAAACCCCAACAACAACCATTGATAGCGAACTTCAAAATATTAATGTGGGTGCGTGCGTGGGTGCATGGGTCCGTGCGTGCGTGGGTGGGTGGGTGCGTGCATGCGTGTGTGGGTGTGTGTGTGGGGTCGGGGTCGGGGTGCGTGGGGGTGCAGGTGTGCGGGGTGGGTGGAACGCACCCGCTGTGTGGGGGGCGGGGCAGCGGGGCGGGGGTGGGGGTCTGAGGGTGGAGGTGGGTCACTGCCTGCTACGCACCCGCCGCCCCGCTTCCTTTTGTCAGCGCCGACGCCGGAGAAACTTGGTGCCAAAACGATGAATAAAATGAAACTTGCGAAAACTAAAAGATAGCGCTAAAACGACGAAAACGGAAGAAAGAAAAGAAAAAAAGAGAAACGCGTCCCGAGGGGAAAAAAAAAAACACCGCAAAAACAGAATTAGAAAAGGGAAAAAACACAAAACGACACTTTCTTGTTATCGGCGGAGGGCGCTTCGAGATATTCCCTCGCATCGACGCTCGCCGCCGTTCCGCCCCTTGGGCGCGCTCTCTCGTTTTCTGGCGCGCTGTGAACATTTCGGTACGCGCGCCACTCTGCCCGGCCCCCCGCCCTCGATCGCCTCCATCCGCCGGCCCACAGCAAAACTTCACCCCCAAGTCCGGCGCGGAGCGGACCATCGACCTTCCCCCGCAGCCAAGGCTGCTTAAGGGGTAGGATTGCAAATCATAATCAAACTTCATCAAAATGCATTGTTCAAAGTTCATTTTTTGTCAAGGATTACCTGTGTCAGACCACATGGCTCGAAAATAGACGGTATAACAAAAATGTCCGAAGCGCCATATATCGCATGTGCAAGACTTTCGTCATACTTAAGAATAAGCCTCACATGGGGATGATTCTCGAATTCACGAGCAACTCCCTCAAATTGTGCCTGCAAGAAAAAAAGAAAAAGGAGACGCACCAACGATCACAACCAGCAGTTACAGCACGATGACCAGTCTACATACAACTGCTGCTGTTACTACCTGTTAGTCTCTCTTTTTTTCCCCCCCATTTTTTTTTCCCTTTTTTTCCCTTTTTTTGAAAAATTTTCAAGTTTTTTGAAAATTTCCCTTTTTTCTTCTTCTTCTTCTTTTTTTTTTTTTTTTTTTTCTGCTGTAGTCTCTCTGTGACTCTCATACAACAAAATTGCAGACAAACAACAAGGAGTCGTTTAACTGTCCTGTCATACAACAAATTTGCAGATGGACTGAGAATGAGACGACATTCAACTGCGTCCTTCGGGACATCCAATAAAAAATTGGAACGATACACAGAAGATTAGCATGGCCCCTGTCCAACGATGACACGCATAGATCGAGAAACGGTTCACACACACACAAAAAAAAAAAAAAAAAAAAAACCAAACTGCTGCGCATCTACAGGCCATTGACCCTTGCGAAGTCAGGATACAAAAGTCGAGAAATGGTTCAAATAAATCAATAAATAAATAAATAAATAAATAAATAAAAAGAAGAGGACATTGAACTGCTGTGCGTTTACAGAGCATTTGACCCTTGTGAAGTCGTGATATGGCACCTCAGCCATTCACCCTTGTCCTGGTCCCATTCGTGTCCGTCTCTCCCAATTTTGTGTTGGACTCCCCAATTTTTCCGTGCCACTCGCTGCTTGCTGGAGTCTACCAATTTCCACCCGATGCCCCTACCCTTGCTTCTCCTTACTCGACCACAGTAATTCTGTCCCGCTCCCTGCTTGCTGGAGTCTACCAATTTCCACCCGATGCCCCTACCCTTGCTTCTCCTTACTCGACCACGGTAATTCTGTCCCGGTCCCATTCGCGTTGGTGGACTATCCCAATTTTCCCGAGCCACTCCCTGCGTGTTGGAGTGTCCCAATTTCTACCTGATGTCCCTACCCTTGTTTCTCCTTTTACTCGTAACCCCCGACGACTGTGATTCTGACCCTTGCTAGCCCCCAACCACTGTGTCTGCCGCGTGAGGCCTAAATCCTGCTGAATTATTTTTGACCCTTCCGCCCGCCTCCCCCTCCCCCCAAGCCCCCCGCAAGCTCCCCCCCCCCCCCCCCCCAAGTTTCTCTCCAACGATTCTCCATCAATTGAGGCCACCTTTTCTCCGTCACTCACTCAGCTGACTACTCAGTCAACGTTTGTGAGGTTTAGCGCGCAAATTAGCGGGACAAAGTAAAACCAAAAGTTCACAGCACAGAAGAGTCAAATGCAAAAAGGAGGACAATCAGGAATGTTCAGAGATAGATATGCGGATATGTGTTAAAATACGCGGATATGTGTTAAAAATTAAAATATGCGGATATGTGTTAAAACTGTAACGATAGTACGATACAGTGAAGATTAGCATGGCCCCTGCGCGAGGAAGACATGCATACATATACATACATGGAGAATTGGTCCAAAGTAAAAATGCCAAAAAAAGAAAAAAAAAAAGGAAACAAAAACAAACAAACACAATGTCAAGTGCGTAGCTACGAACCTGAATATGAGGAACTGGACTCGATCCCAGAAGAACAAACTGGCCACCTAGCTCTGCCGTCCGATAAATCGCATGCTGGATCAGATGAACCCCTTTCTGCGGAACAAGCCTTGTTACGCAGCCAACCTGTGTGCAGGAGCCCAAAGGTACGGAATCAGCTTGCTTCTTCAAAGCGTTCAAAAAAGAATCGAAGATTCGAAGAATCGAAACGTATTTGTATAATTTGTTCTTCGTTTTAAATTTTGCACGAGTAAGCCCTGAACATTATTATTATTATTATTATTATTATCTGTAATATGTGTGGCAGGACTGTGAAGATTTGGACGGCCAACTGTGGGGATTTGCAAATTGCCACGCATAATCTGTGATGACATTTGAATGTTACCCCTGGGCCGCAGGGCTGCTGGATGGGAGACACGTGGAGTTGTTGATATTAATTCATAGAAAACAAATCGTGAGTTCAATTCCCGGTATAGAGATACAATCGTACAATATCACAATGACGCTAGGGGGGCTGATGATAGGGGCAGCGGGCGGTCGGTCTCGTGCACGAACGCTGGAAGAGCAGTGAGCAAGTGCCCATGCCAGGCAAACAGCATGTGGTGGCTGCAATGCACACGATATCACAATGATACTACAGGTAGGGGCAGTCGGGAGTGTCGTGCACGAGTGCTGGAAAGAAGAGCGCTGAGCAAGTGTCTGTGCAAGGCAAACAGCATGGGGTGGCTGCATTGCACCTGCGGCATAGCTGGAAGCTGGCACGGCGCAGGAGCAGGTGGCGAGCGATCAGGGCTAGGCCATGCAAGGAGAGCGACAAGTGGGATCAAAATGTGGATACTGGACTGGTGTTGCCTCAGGAGGCCCCATGTGATCAGGCTTGCAAGAGGAGAGTTAGACCATAGCTAGGTTAGAGTGTGCAGGCAACTAGGGCAGTAGCATAGGCGGACACACCATAGCTAGGAACCTGGGGCTGCTCCTCTGTCGTTCTATTGATTGTAGGAGGCCCGAAAAGGGCTTTCACAATCAAGCGACTTCAGTGTTCAGTGTGTTCTTGGATCGGTGAGCTCTCGGCTTTGCCATTCTTCTCTCAACTCGATTTACTCATGTTCGGTCTTCAATGAGTTCCTGCATCTTGAAAATTGAAATTGGGTTCTCAATGGCTGCTGGTTCTTTGCACAGCAGAAAGGGGAGAGCGATTCAGCAGAATGAGGAAACATCCACCAGGTGAGTTCAGAAAAGGCAGAATCGGCAGATCTTGTCGCCCCAAAAATAAGAAATAAAATAGGCGCGAATTCAGGCAAGGTAAAAAATTGTATATCAAAACGACTTCTGGCTTCATCAAAAGAGGTAGGGGTCGAAATTTCAATCTGATTTGCACAGACTTACTGAAGTCCCCTCCGAACCATGCGGAATAGTTGCCCATTACACGGCTCACTAACTAAAACTCTACTTGCTTAGAGTAGGTAGGTAAAAAAGGGATCATGGGTGAGACATTAAAAAAAAAAAACAAGAAGAGAGAAAAAGGAAAAAAAGACGTTAAAAAGAAAAACAAGAAGAGAGAAAAAGGAAAAAAAACACTCGCCCATGCAGTCGAGACAGAAAACCGGCAGAGGAAGAGATGGTAGAAACCCATATCCCAAGATGTTGAAGCACAGACACACAAGAAGGGGCATGAGTTGTCCCCCGCGACATCCGTTAAAATTGGAACAATGCAGAGAAGATTAGCATAGCCCCCTGCGGAAGGATCACACACGTAAATCGAGAAATGCCATGGTGCAAAAAAGAAAAAAGAAAAACGAAAGAAAGAAAGAAAGAAAGAAAAGAAAGGGTACGGCGTCCAAATCTCACCCATAAGGTAGAGGTGACTAATGCAGATATGCGTAGAAGAGGAGGTGGGTGAGCGGGGGAGAGGGGGTGTCAGGTGGAGTTGGTGGCCACAGCCTGCAAAGCTAGATGAGGATCAAGTCTGATCAACTGCTCTGCATGCCGATCATCATGAACAAAGCTAGATCAGGAAGGCAAAGAGCACAAGTCAATGTGGACTTACCAATGGCTTTTCAGCATCGGCCCCTGTACAGGACATCCCTAACCTTGCCCTGAGTGCCATTTTGTTGGCGAATTTCCCACCAAGATCGTCGGGACTGTACTGGTACTCCAGCAGTGGGTCTGTTGAAGGACACCAAACCTCATTATCGATTCCATTCAGGACTCCGTAGAACTTTGAGGCATGCTGTCCCAGAGTGACATGCAATCCCCTCCCTTCCTGAAACACATCAGCGCAATCCGACACACATTCAACCACCACATGGTCAGCGGCATCATATCAGACAGAAAGACCATCAAAACCCTGCTTCTCTGGACCCCTTCATGACAGTAAATAGCCCGCCGCCGCCGCCGCCTCAGCAGAAAAGGCGCTGATATCATGCGGCCATCCTCTTCACCCTTACACTTGGTAGGCATCTCACTCACAAAACTCTCTCTCTCTCTCTCTCTCTCTCTCTCTCTCTCTCTCTCTCTCTCTCTCTCTCTCTCTCTCTCTCTCTCTCTCTCTCTCTCTCTNCTCTCTCTCTCTCTCTCTCTCTCTCTCTCTCTCTCTCTCTCTCTCTCTCTCTCTCTCTCTCTCTCTCTCTCTCTCTCTCTCGCTCGCTCGCTCACGCGCGCGCGCTTGCTCGCTCACACACACACACACACACACACACACACACACACACACACACACACACACACACACACACAATATACATGCTATTATAAACAGGTTTCAGCATCCCTATCGACACCTGGACAAACTTTGAAAATCCAGAGACTGACTGGTGCTGTGTTCATGCTAACAATGCACGAACCTGGTCGTTAGTACGCAGGTTTGTGTGTCCATAGCATGAACATAGCATCACTGGGGCCAGGCACTAAGGCGGATAACTATATGCACATTTTGGAAAAGGCGTGTCAGCAGGAAACAACCGAGAAATGAAAGAATTTGGAAAGAGAAAGAGACAAAGGACGAAGAAGAATTAAGAAAGAACGAAGAAGGTGTACACCAGCAAAAGACCAATGACAAATCCCCCTTCTCTCACAACTCACTCCATCCTCCTTCCCTCTCCCAATCTTATTCTTCAAAAAATAATGATAATAACAATGAATAAATGGCTGAACCAAAACCGATATCCAAATCCCCCTCTTACTGCCATCAGTATAAGAGGTCCACCATAGCCACGGCCTTCATCTGCAAACACCTCCGGTAGGTGGTGGCTATGGCGGACTACTGGCACCTTGCCCTGCTGTTCAAAAGACAAGGCAAAAGCAGATATGTCCTCTGCCACTGAGCTCAGAAAGAGAGGAAAAGTCTCACATCGGGCTGGCCCAAGGACTACTGGAGCCTTGCCCTGCTGTTCAGAAGACAACGCAAAAGCAGATATGTCCTCTGCCACTCGAGCCGCACTGAGCTCAGAAAGAGAGGAAAAGTCTCACATCGGGCTTGTCACAAAAAAAGGTCAAGGTTTGTCAGCGTACCTCTGGCCCACGGACTTCTTGTGCATATGTTGGCGACACAGTCGTTACGATGTTCGAATAGACAATCCCACCCTGAAAATAGAGCAGCCAGAAAAGATGCAAGCATGACATACACACGTAAGCTTTCTTTCTCTCATGGAAAGGACCACGTTGCCACTCAGCTCTGGTGCAGCGCTACAAATGCCGTCGCAAGAGAGGGATGGCATTACTTACACAGAATGATACCCCTGCTACTCATCTTTTTTTTTTTTTCTTTTTTTTTTTTTTT